TATACTTGCGTAGAATCCCAATCTCAAGAGCTATAACTGCATTCTTAATTTCATTGTTACTAAAATACTACATCAAGTTTTTGGCGCCGTTGTAAAGCAGAGTCAACTTTATAAATTTTACACAACTATATTCAAGCGGGATCATTTCTCTAAGGTCATAGAAGCTTAGGAACAATATTATGATGGTTTGAATAATTTTGTACATTTTTGTATTTAAATAACTATGTAGACCTTGTATTAATTTATGTAAATTAAAAATTAAAAAAAAAATTGGAAAAATAAATTCCACATTGTGCATAAAAATTATGTTAACCCATTGTAAAAATTTTAAAAATCATTGATTAAGTTTAAGCACTAAAGTTAATTTTTTAAGAAACATTGTATTTTTATACAAAAATAATTATATTAAATAAAATACATTTAGAAAAATTATGAAAAGTGGTTTTCTGAGTTCCTTGTGATCAGGAGCACTTAGGAAAAATTAAAGTTATTTTTGATAAAATACTTTATTTCTTACTTATATTTTAAATAAAAAATAATTAAAAATTCTAAAAATACAAAAATATTGTAAAGTGTTCCTAATAGTGTCTTGATCACTTAGGACTCATTAAAATTTTATTCTTAATTTTTCTAAGTTAAAAATAAATTTCTAAAGGCCTAAAATGTTTTTCCCTTATTTTTTCATTAAAATAATTATAATAAATAAATCAAAAATCATAAAAATATAAAATTTATTTCTTTGAGTTCTCTGGACTCAGAGAGTTTAATAAAATATAGAAAATAATTTTTGTAATTAAAACATATTTTCCATTTAATTAAATCACTAAAAATCATTAAATAATTATAAATTAAGAATTAAAATTTAAATAAAAAAAATCATGGAATTTTTCCTTAGTATTTCTTTGACCTAAGAAAACCTCTGATAATTTTCCATAAACGAAAAAATTTTACTTTGATTGGTTAAATAAATCAGTATTGAAAATCCTATTTTACTAGGTTTAAATAATTATTTAAATTAAATAAAATTTTGAAAAAACCACATTTTCTTCTCTGACGTTTTAATTGTCCCATGGGTATGGTATTCTAAAATCTTTAAAATCACTTGAATTATGCTTAATGAGTTATGAGGTGAAGTGCCCCAAGGGCAAAATGGTAATTTTAGATTTTGGTGCCCTAATCAAAATTTAAGATTAATAAGATTAACCAAGGGAAAAATGGAACCAAGGGAAAAATGGGTAATTTTAATCCTAATGAACATATTTGGATGATTGAAACACCATGAGTTAAAAGGTAGAAACCAATTAGCCACCTTTCCATGATAAGGAAATAATTATAATTTTCTAAATTATCAAGACTTGGAAGTTGATCAAAGTCAAATGATTCTCAAGTGACGGACTTAATTAGGAGGATGATAATTCACTTATTTTAACCCCATAATTTGGATTATATGATCTTTCAATAAGGATATGTATCACTTAAATTTAAAATCTTAATGATTGCCACCTTATCCCCCTGTGACTATTAAAGGCTTGACAGTGATCTAGACTTGATATTTGAATTCATTTAATGGGATTTCTAAGGATAACATCATTGATGATAAACACTTCTAAGCACTACAAGCCTAACCTTAGTGGTGGGTACAAAATCTTTAATGACTTAGATTTGTCTTAGAGGCGTCTACTCACATAACCTTTAAGTGAAATATGGATGATTAAAATGTCAAGGTTCACCAAGTAATGGGGTGATTTTTAATTTGACATGGGATGATTAATAGAGCAATATGATAAGTTCAAAATGAACTCAAGTGTTTCAAGAGATCTTCAAAGCAGTTCAGGTTCATTACCCGAATACTTTGAAATCTCTTGGATATTTTGAAAGACAAATTAAACTTGATATATTTTATTCTAAAATCATCTACTATGATCTTTCGGGACTCAATATGTCATAGTTTGGGGTTTGTTAGATACATCTTCAACTATTCTTAATTTTTGCAAAGTTATATATACATGTTGTGAAAAGCTAATCTTTCAGTGGGAATGCCAAGAAGATAACATGTACATTTTTATAGTGTTATTTAATTTTTGTCATTTTATTTTCTGCAATTTATTTTCGCTGCAAAATATTATAATTGCTTTATTGTGCACTTTCTTTTACTTGCAAAATCAAAACAACTTTTCAAATAGTGATGCCGGAACGAGGGGACCATGGGATCTTAACCGGTGTAACTCTAATAAACTTTAAACCCCCTCTGATTGAAGTTCAACTTGTCATTTAACCCTTTAAACTTTAGATTTTAGGACTGCCACTTCATCGAGGACTTTGGAGCTAACCTTGTGGGCAACCTTCTACAACTGTGATCTGTAACAGCATGAGGAGCTACAATAACACAACTTTCCTAAGAACTAAACAACAAAATAATGGTATTTCGAGGTTGTCCGCTTAGTGTAAAATAAATCCTCAACTTTTTCTTTAGGACTTTGTGTAGCCCTGCTATACAGTTTAAGCACTAACTTGTTTTATGGTTCTGAGGTTGTCGTTTATCACGACGTAAATCCTCACATCTTCTAGGCTATTTGTGTAATCGTCTCGCATGAATGTAAACCCTAATTAATAAAATTGGCAGGATGAAACACTTAATTCCTTTTTGTATTTGAAGCCAAAATATAGGATAACTTGGGAAGTCACCGAGATTCTTCTCAGAATTCATGACATCCCATAGTCCTTCTTCCTTTGGATCTAAAAATAAATGTTCCAAATTTGAGTCATTCTTCTTTTACACCTCTTTGTCTGATCTTTTGAAAAGTCCTATCCTTTGAAATTCTTGAAGACAATATCCCCTGATCTTTTTCGAGAGTTTTCTTAGGTGAATTCAATTACCTAAGATGTAATTAACCGTAGGGGCTTGCCCTTATAAGAAACTTTCAAGAACCCAACTTAATATAAACTCTATTTAATTTTTCGTATTAAATGGGGGAACTTGTCGGTCAACATAAAAAAAAAGTTTTTCGCAGACTTAAACGAATGTTATAAATTATTTAGTTTATTTAATCGAGTCTTACCAGTAAGTAGTGTGTCTACCCTTCATGATAGATGCATTGCTTGTGGTATTAGACTCGTTTATTTAAACTATTGAGGATATGAGATCAGTCCGGTCTTGTATTTTCAAAATTTAAAATACTACTTTTCCCAAATTATATATATATATATATAGGTGGAAGGAGCATTATTCGGCTCCTTACATATTGATCAACGGCGACTGACAATTTTCAATTTGGCGACCGACATCCACCTTCTATTGTTTCCTTCATGTGTATTATGTCTTTTAGAATAAAATGACAGTAGTTTGGTTTTATAGGAGGTACCCAAAAACAGACCAACGACCCAACAATTGTATGAAACATTGAACCTGAAACTGCTACGACATGGAACTTGGAGCTAACACCATGGGCAGCACGGTGAGGATGTACAGAAGAAAAACTTCGAGAGAGCAAACAGATCTACAACAACAAAACTTTCCTTAGAATTAAAAAAAACATAGGATTTCAAGGTTGTTTGTCTAGTGCAATATAATTCCTCACGTTTTCTTTTAAGCTTCTGCACAATCATGTTGTGCGACATAAGTTCTAACTCGCTTTAGGCTTCGCGATCATCATCAAGTACGAGTAAATCCTCCTTTGTTTTAGGTTATTTGTATGATTTGTCATGCAAATTTAAGTGCTAAATTATAATAATTGGCAGGATGAAACATTCAATATTTCCTTCTCAAAATTGAAGCCAAACCATATGATGGCTTGGGAAGACATTGAGGTTCTCCTAAGATCTGTGACAACCCCTAGTTTTCTCCTTTTAGATTCCTTAACAATGTTTCAAATTTAAGTTTTTCCCATTTGACACTCCTTGGTCCGATCTTTGAAAAGTTCTACCCTTTGAAATTCTTGAAGACAATATTTTTTAATCAAAATCGAAAGTTTTTTTTATGTGACCTCATTCATTTAAAATGTAATTAACTACATGGGCTTGCCCTTATAGAAAACTTTAGAACAAAACTTAATATAAACCATATCTAATCTTTCATATTAGATAGGAAAACTTGTCGGTCAACATAAATGTTCACAGACTAAAACTGATGTCATAAACTCTTTAGTTTATTTAATCGAGTCTCACGGATAAGTGATATGTCTCTTCATCAGGTTATGTATGTCACTTGTAGCGTTGTGCTTGTTTATTTAAACTATTGTCTGTATGGGATCAATTCGGTCTCCTATTTTCAAGATCTGGCGAACAATAACTACAACCACATAAATGTAGAAAATTTAATTATTAAAATTATTTATTATGCAATGAATAAGTAAATTTTTGATATTTAATTCTCTTATTCTTATCACAGTTATCACATTTCAATAGTAAAAGATTTAGAGAACAAAAAATGTACATAAAAAAATATGATTACACGAATCTCAAGCAAATTCAACAAGTCTCACTTAGGCCTACATCGAGATAATTAATAGACATAAATAACAAGCTTCGTTTGCTTTGATCATAACTCGGAGTCGACTGAATGGAAGCATAGTCGAACGAATGAGTAGGACACATCTAATATGATGAACAATCTCTCATGACTAGCTCCCTTAGCCGATTTTAGAGTTCTTCACAAAGATGGCCAAAGTTTGGTAGACAGAACACATGTCTGATTCTCAAAGAACACCCTTTGTCTAAAGAGAGCCGCATGTCAGATTACGGTGATGCACCCTTTGCTTAATGACCCAAGTGCACCCTAATGACAGAAAGGCTTATACTCCGAATACTATTAAGAGGGCCAACTGATGATGTTTTCAACCGATCGAATGTATGCTGACCGACCGAATGACAATATTAATATATTATTAAATGTCCCAATTCAAGCAATTATAATTACAAAATGATGCTAATGTTAGTAGTGAATATAAAAGGGTCTCAGAGTCGAATACAAATATAAAAATGTGCAATAAAAACTTTAACGTCCCTGTTAAGAAATGGAAACACACAAGTTTATTGCTTGCTAGCCCTGATCGGCCAACAGCCGTCTAATCAGATCTCGCGTTGGCCGCATTGGCGGGAAGCGCGCCTTTTTCCCGCCAAATTCAGCTTTCTTCTCACTTTCTAGTTTCTTTCACCATTTCTCTCGTTTCGTCCAGAAACCCTATCCGCGCCATGGCCGACTCCTCTCCTTACGGTACTGCGAACTCAAATCTTTTATTTTTCTTCAGTTGAAAGCTTGATTTTTATTTTGCTTTCTTTTCGTTTAATCAGGTACATCTTCTCCTGATGGCAAATCAAGCCCCATTCCCAACACCAACTCCTCCCCTTTACCCTCCTCCAATGGGGACCTGCGACGTCCCGGAAAACTACGCCGTCGACATCCCGTCGCCGGCAGCCCTGTTATCTCCTCTTCGCCAGGAGCCTACCGTACCCCTCTTTCTTCTTCCAGGCAACGACGTCGACAAGCCACTCCCTCCACTCCTGCAACTCCTATCTCCTCTTCCGACGCCATGGGTCCATCCTCGGACGCTGGCGACGAAGCAGACGCAGGAGTTGATGGGGAAGACGCTGACTCAACTCCTGTCTTTGTATGGGGGACCAACATAAGCGTGCAAGATGTTAACGCCGCAATTCTACGTTTTCTCCGCCACTTCCGCGACCCTAGGAGGGCTTCCGACGGTGGAATTAACGGTGGGGG